GACACAATGATCGGAATTAAACCAAATTAGTATGGGACTCCCCTTATGATAAAAAAAGGAATAATCTAAAACGGTCTTTGTCTTCGTATTCGTCCTTGTATTTGTATTCGTCTTGGGTTATCTTCGTATTCGTTTTTGTGTTCCTATTTCTTTCCGTCTTTGTGTTCGTCTTGGCCTTCGCATTTGTCTTCGTAGTCATCTTCGCAATATTCTTCGTATTCGTGTTGCAATTGTCCTCGTTTTCGTCTTTGAATTCAAATTCGTCTACGTATTCGTTTTCGTTTTCGTGTTCGTGTTCGTATTCATATTCGTGCTGGTCTTCGTATTCGTCTTCGGTTATTCTTCGTATTCGTTTGTGTGTCCTTGTAAGCCTTCGCATTTATCTTCGTACTCATCTTCGCAATATTCTTCGTATTCGTGTTGGTGTTCGTCCTCATTTTCGTCTTCGAATTCCAATTCTTCTCCGTGTTCGTTTTCATATTTGTGTTCGTATTCGTGTTCGTCTCGTATTCTTCCTCGGCGTCGTATGCACGTCAAATACGGCTACATAGTTATCTTCGTATTCTTCTGCGGATTCGTCTTTGGTTGGTTTTAATCTACGTTTTCGTATTTGTCTTCGTATTCTTTATTCTCCTGTTAATCGTTGTATTCGTATTCGTATTCGTATTCGTTTTGCTCTTGGTATTCCTCATCGTTAAATTCGTGACCGTGATTGTCTTAATATTCTTGCCTTCCACAAAAAAAATATCTTTAGAATAGTGTTTTTGATTCAAAAATCGGCCGCGTAGCACTGCCAAACTAAAACGAACAAACATTTATGTTCTTCTTCTTCTTCTTTTTTGGCGCTGTAACCGCCTAAGCGATTTTGGCCGAGTTCAGCAAAGCACGCCAGTCGTTTCTCCTCTGTGCCAACTGACGCCAATTGGAAACGCCAAGTGAAGCCAAGTCCTTCTCCACCTGATCTTTCCATCGCAGTGGGGGCCTCCCTCTTCCTCTGCTACCACCAGCGGGTTCCGAGTTGAATACTTTCAGAGCTGGAGCGTCGGTGTCCATTCGAACGACATGACCAAGCCAGCGGAGCCGCTGTATTTTAATTCGCTGCACTATGTCCAT